CTGCCAATAACCCTGTATTCTGCATTCAAATTCGACCTTCCAAAATGAATCACTTCACATTTTCTGGGTTGAATTCCATCTGCCACTTCTTTGCCCAGCTCTGCATCCTGTCAATGTCCTGTTGCAACCTACAACAGCCCTCCACGCTGTCCACAACTCCACCAACCTTCGTGTCATCTGCAAACTTACTAACCCACCCTTCCACTTCCTCATCCAAGTCATTTATAAAGTTCAGAGGTCCCAGAACAGATCCCTGCAGAACACCACTGGTCACCGAGCTCCAGGCTGAATACTTTCCATCTACTACCACCCTCTGTCTTCTATTGGACAGCCAGTTTTGTATCCAGAAACCCAAATTTTCCTGAATCCCATGCCTCCTTACTTTCTGAATGAGCCTACCATGTGGAACCTTATCGAATGCCTTGCTAAAATCCATATACACCACATCCACTGCTCTACCTTCATCGATGTGTTTTGTCACATTCTCAAAGAATTCAATAAGGCTTGTGAGGCATGACCTACCCCTCACAAAGCCATGCTGACTATTTCTAATCAAACTGTGCTTTTCCAAATAATCATAAATACTATCTCTCAGAATCCTCTCCAATAATTTGCCCACCACAGAAGTAAGACTCACCAGTCTATAATTTCCAGAATTATCCCTATTCCCTTTCTTGAACAAGGGAATGATATTTGCCACCCTCTAATCATCTGGTACTACTCCAGTGGACAGTGAGGACACAAAGATCATTGCCAAAGGGGCAGCAATCTCTTCCCTTGCTTCCCATAGTAACCTTGGGTATATCCCGTCTGGCCCAGGGTACTTATCTATCCACATGTTTTTCAAATTTTCTAGCACATTCTCCTTTCTAACAACAACCTGTTCGAGCATAATATTTCGCCCTGTATCCTCATATCCCATGGTTGATATTGTCTAGGTTTTGGTCAACCTACAAAAGCAAGAGAATCTTTTCTGATGTCTAGATTTTAATGGGAATGATACAAACTAGATTCATTCCTATAGTCTACTGTTCCTTGTACTAAGGTCCACCGTCTCTAAAGTTCATTTTTGAAAATATTGTTTGCCTCTTTAAATTTACAAAGTAAGTCCAATTTGACCAAAGCTAAGTCCAAGCTGTTTTCTGTTGTATTCATATTACTCGGTCGAATGATTTAATTGCTCAGATTTTGCAGAAAGTATTGCAGATAGGATAGTTCAGATTAAAAAATGAAAGGCAAGCTCTGGGAGCTGCAATGTAAAGATGTGACTAAGCAGGTACAAAGACCCATGTCAAGTCTGGGTGATATGATAAAAATAGCTATAAAATGAATTGAAATTAAATTTTAGATAACATTTCTAGATGACTACCTTCTTTTTACAGTTGATATTTACAGTTTCATTAATTCAAACCAAAATTGTATAAACTGGAACATAAATTCGTCTGAAGTACTGGCACATTATTACCAAAACATATGGTACGTGAGCACATTATCCTCCTGAAAATAAAGGACTTCCTCCCATTCAGCTATTTAATATTGCGAGTTTTCTTTCCTTCTATATCATAAATAGGAAATCCTGCTTGTGGACATAACTTACTGCTTCCTTGTGGTCAGCACAGACGAGTTGGACCAAAGGGCCTGTTTCCATGTTGTATGATTCTATGACTCTTGTGAACGTCAGAGGTATAGTTAGTAAGTTTGCAGATGACATCAAAATAGTGTTGTAATGGACAGTAAGGAAGATTATCTCAGAGTAAAATGGGACCTTGATCAGATGGGCCAAGGAGTGGCAGATGGAGGTTAACTTAGATAAATGTGAAGTGTTGCATTTTGGTAAGACAGACAAGGGAGCACTTGTACAGTTAATGGTAGGGCCCTGGGGAAGTGTTGCCGACCGAAGAGACCTGGGAGCGCAGATGCATAGTTCCTTGAAAGTGGAGTCACAGTAGAATAGGTGATGAAGAAGGCGTTTGGCATGTTTGCCCTCATTGGTCAGTGCATTGAGTATAGGGTTTGGGACGTCATGTTGTGACTGTACAGGACATTGGTGATGCCACTTTTAGAATACTGTGTACAATTCTGGTCATCCTTCTATAGGGAGGATATTGGTAAACTTGAGAGTGTGCACAAAAGATTTACAAGTATGTTGCTGGAACTGGAGGATATGAGGTAGAGGGAGGGGCTGAATAGGCTGGGGTGTTTTTCCCTGGAGCATCGAAAGCTGAGGGATGACCTTATAGAGGTTTGTAAAATCATGAGGGGCATGGATAGGATGAATAGCCAAGGTTATTTTCAAAATGGCATAGTCTAAGATGAGAGGGCATAGGTTTAAGGTGAGAGGGGAACGATTTAAAAAAGATCTGAGGAGCAACTTTTTCATGCACAGAGTGGTGCTGTGTATGCAGTAAGCTGCCAGAGGAAGTGGTGGAGGCTGGTACAATTACAACATTTAAAAGGCACTGGATGAGTATATGAATAGGAAGGGTTTGTAGGCATATGGGCCAAATGCTGGTTAATGGAGCTAGGTCAGATTGGGATGTCTGATCAGCATGCACGAGTTGGACCGCAGGATTTGTTTCAGTGCTGTACAACACTATGACTCTATAACTCCCCAAACAAGCATTTCCACTGGTGTAACTTCATCTGATTGCCTTTTCAGCTAACCTGTGGGGGCAGTCCCTCACCCTTCATCTTTGAGGACAACTTAACCAAGACAGAATTTTAAACCGAGGAATGAAAATATATAATTAATAAATCCATATGAATATTACATGTATTTATAACTTTTTATTGATAACTCCCACTGAATCCTTCCCCCATCAACTTGGTCAAGCAGCACATTGATTTTAAAGTTAGCATCGTTGTTTTCAAACCCCTCCATGGTCTTGCCCTGTCCAACTCTGTAGTTTTATACAACCCCACTACCCGTGAAAATATCTGCACGTTCCTTTTATATATTCCCAGATGTAACTAATGTACCAATGGTGACTATATCTTCAGTTGATTTGGCCCAGGTTCTGGAACACACACACCTCTTTGCCACTCTTCCTCACCTTTCTCATTTAAATCTACCTCTTTGAGCAAGCTTTTGGTTATCTGAACTAATATATCCTTATATGGTCCGTATCATGCTGTGTTTTATAATGCTCCTGTAAAGGGATGTTTCATTACTTTAAAGACACTGTATGCATATAAATTAATGTTATTGTTCTAATATCTTAAAAGCACTTAATTTCTATTTTTATTTGTTTTAAATAGCTCTTGGCTGTAGACTGGCCTTTCGGTGTTGAAGTATGTAAGCTTGTACCATTTATCCAGAAGGCATCAGTCGGTATCACAGTCCTCAGCCTGTGCGCACTGAGCATTGACAGGTAAAAGAGCTCTCAGACACTATCATTTCATTGTCACCTTATTCAGACAATAAACCAGTGGAAGAAGCAATTTTATTTATGTTGATGATCACAGGTTTTAATAGCCAAATTAATACAGAATTGAATTAAATAGGTGGCAATAGGGCTAACAACTGATGCCAAAAACAATAATGTGATGAACAAAACCTCCACCTTGATTAAGTAGCCACTTAACTTCAGGCATTAACTTTGTCTGCTTGGAATTAATGCACAATACTTAGGTATCTTCCCTGGGGTCCTCTTGTTGCACAGAAGTAAAATCCCTACCCCTGAACTGGGACACCTGGGTTCAAGTCCCACTGCTCCAGAGGTGTGCAAAAACACCTCTGAACAGGTTGATTAGGGAAAATAGGTTAAATAAATCAAAAGTATCTTCCTTGAATCAATTAATCATGCCTGGACCCTATGTCCCAAAGGTAAGGCCACAACACTTCATCACAAGAGCCCATCTTCCTCAAATACACTGTAATTGCTTGACTTAGGCAAGATACTGAGCTCATTACCACAAGTATCAAGTTACTTTGTAAAGTTTATATTATCTTTCTTTACAACGTTCTCTTAAAAACAGTGACAGTAAAGAATATTTACAGCGTGGTGAATGCATTTTTGTGCATATTATGTCAATATTCCAGCCACCTGACATTTGCAAAAGAACATTATGTTCCAAAGTGTAGTAAGAACTGCCGATGTGGAATCGGAGATAACACAGCGTGGAGCTGGAGAAGCACAGCAGGCCAGGCAGCATCAGAGGAGCAGGAAAGTTGACGTTTTGGGTCGGGACATCCTCTGATGCTGCCTGGCCTGCTGTGCTCCTCCAGCTTAACGCTGTGTTATGTTCCAAAGTGCTCATTTACTTTAAAAGGCTAAACAAATCCATAACTAGCCATTCATAGAAGATGAGTAGATGACACAACTTTTTTATTCATGGGATGTGGGCTTCACTGGTTAGGCAGCATTTATTGCCCATCAGTGTTCCTTCTAATTTTCTTCCTGGCTGCCCAGGCCCCCAATGCCCTCGCATGGCAGTGACTTCCAAAACCAAAAATCAATGCCACTATCAATGTGCTGATGTCAATCACCATGCGCAGAACATCAGAGTACCTGCGCACAGCTTAGAGGGAACATTGTTGCCCATTATCTCGTTGCCCTTGAGAAGGTAATGGTGAGCTGCCTTCTTGAACTGCTGCAAACCATTTGGTGAGGTACACACACAATGCAATTAGAGAGTTATACGATTTTGAGGTAGTGACACTGAAGGAATGGCGATATATTTCAAAGTCAGGATAGTAAGTGGCTTGGAAGGGAATATGTAGCTGGAGATGTTCCCTGTATATTCTGCACTTGCACCTCAAGATGGTAATGGTTGCAAATTTGTAAGGTGCTATCTAAGGAACCTTGGTGAACTTCTGCAGTGCATCCCATTGATCAGAAGTTGTGCAGCTCCAGTGCATCAGTAGTGGAGAGTAAATGTTTGAGAACGTGGCATTAATCAAGGGCATTGCTTTGTCCAGAATGGTGTAAAGCTTCTTGTTTTGTTGGAGCTGTACTCACCTTGGTAGTTGGGGAGAATTCTAACAAATTTCTGAATACTGCCTTGTAGATTATGAACAGGCTTTGGAGAGCCAAGAGGTGAGTTATTCACAGCAGGGTTCTTAGCCTCTGTCCTGTTTTTGTTGCCACAGTATTCATATGGCTAGTTCAGTACAGTTTCTGGTCAATAGTAACCCTCAGGATATTGGTAGTGGGAGAATTCAGTGATACTAATGCCATTGAACATTACAGGGAGATGGCTAGATTCCCTCTTATTGGAGGTGGCCATTGTCTGGCATTTGTGGGGTTCAAATGTTACTTGCCCCACGTCAGCCAAAGCCTGGATATTGCCCAGGTCTTTTTGCATTTCTACATGGACTATATCAGTATCTGAAGAGCCATGATTTGTATTGAATATTATGCAATCATCAAATAAAATCCCCATTTCTGACCTTTTGGAGGAAGGAAGGTCATTGCTGAAGCAGCTGAAAATGGTCTGGCCATCTTAAGTCTGATCTAAAAGTTTGGTGTGATCACCTGACTGTTATATAGCTTGATCACACTTGGATGCCATAACTTCTCTGATCCACTTATTGGAGCAGAGAAGATTAAAAACTGACCTTATGTGTTCAAAATGCTGAACAGTTTTTGACAGGGTAAAGAAGGATGTTCTGTTTCTACTAGTTGGTATGTCAGTAACTAAGGGGTCACAATTTCATTTGTTGAGGAAAGCCATTATCCTTTTTCGCCTGTAGACTTGACTATTATGCCATTCATTTTCCCATCTCCTACATGCTATCCTCCAAAGCATGAAGTCATCCAAAGCTCTACTCCTCATACCTTTACTTGGCCCAAGTCTTGTTGCCCCATTACACTGGGCTTGATGATTGTGGCTTTATCAAACAACTTGCATTTACTTTCAAATTCCTCCAAAGCATTGCTCTTCCCGTCTCTGTAATCTTCAACAATGCACTTCACTTATTCTAACCATTTGAGCATCCCAGAATTTAATCACTGCACCACCAGTGGTCATAGGCTGTAATTTCTGGAATTTCCTCTCTAAACATCTCCACCCCTCTACTTCTTCCTCTTTTAAAATGGCCCTTATTAAAATGTAACTTTGAAGAAGCTTTTAGCTATCTATCCTAATATTGAAATATATGATTCAGTGTTAAATTTTGTTGTAGAATGCACCTGTGTTACAGGGGCTATATGAAATGTCATTAGTCCATACATGTCCCTGGTCATCCATTAGAGATAGCTAGACCCTGATGAATAAAAAAGGGCCAAAGACGACATGCTCACTCAGGGTGATGACGTTGCTTGCCACCTTCGAACTGCTAAACAGTACAGAGGAGCAGCAGCAGACTAATGTAGATATCTCATTATCCAGAAACCAAAAGGTAAACTTAAAATTCATATAGAAGCTTGGTGAGACCTCATATATTGTACTGTGCCCAGGTCAGATCCCCATGTCATAACAGGACATTTAAGCATGAGCGGAATTACAGAAATGATTTAATAGGATACTAGAATTGGAAATGAAAGAACAGGCTACATCTTTTTTCTCTGAAAAGCAAAATTATTTATTCTCTACAGATATTCACTGAATCAACAGTTGATGTGCAAAACATGACAGCGATTTCTGAGTGCAGAATATTTCCTGCGTTCACATTAATTTGGTAGTGCAAGATCAGTGCTGTTAGGATGTGAGTTTGACTAGCTAGGATAGAATTTATTGTCCATGCCAGATTGTCTTTGAGGTGAGACTGAACTGCATCCCTGAACTGCTGCAGTTCTTGTCATGTAGGTACACCCACAGTACTGTTATAAAGGAGTTCCGGGATTTTGACATAGTGACCGTGAAGGAAGAGAGATATAGTTGCAAATCAAGATTGTATGTAGCTTGGAGGGGAACTTGCAGTGGCAGTGTTCCTGTCAACCTGCCGCTCTTGTGCTTCTGGGTGTGGAGTTTGGAAGGTGGTCTTGATCCAGTGATAAATTGACACAGTGCAACTTGTACACGGTATTCACTTTTTCCAATAGTGCGTCAGTAGTGAAGGGAATAAATGTTGAAGGTGATGGATGGGAGTCGAATCAATTGGCTGCTTTGCCTTGGATGGTGTTGAGTGTCGTTGGGGCTGCATTCATCCAGGCAAGTGGTATTCCATCAAAATGCTCATTTGTGCTGTTGATCGGGAATACGTTTTGGAGTTTCAAGAGTTGAGTTATGCACTACTGAACCAGTCTCTGTCTTACTCTTGTTGCTACTGTATTAATAAGGCTGGTTCAGTCAGTTTCTGAGCAATGGTAAAGCCCACCATGTTCAAATTGAGGATATAGCATTAATTTTGTTGGCTGGCCACAACCTACCAGGCCAGAGGGTGGAGGAATCAACTGAAGCTCCTGACCAGCTGGAAATCTGATTTTTTTTATGAACTCTGGACATTTTGGATATATTGGAGGCTTTGCAAGCGATGGGCATTGTAGCCACTGTGAAATCTCAGTTCATCTGCCACCTTCTCATATGCTACATCTTTGTGGTGACTGGAATCATCATCAACTTCCTTCAGCTCTGCACCCTGATAATATGGCCGATCAATAAACAACTCTACAGACAAATTAGATGCCATTGAGTATGTAGGAGGATGACGGTTGTTTTCTCTATTGTTGGAATGGCGATTGATTGAAACTGATGTGGTGCAAATGTTACTTGCCACTTACCATTCAATGATTGGATGCTGTCCAGGTCTTGTTGCACATGGACACAGAATGCTCAGTATCTGGGGGATTGCAAATGGTACTGAACATTGTGCAGTCACGACCAAACATCCCACTTCTGACCTTTTGATGGAAGGAAGTTCATTGATGAACCTGCTGAAGAGATTTGGACCTTCAACATTACCCTAAAGAACTCTTGCAGAGATGTCCTGGGCCCAAGTGACTGACTTCCAGCAATCACAACCATCTTTGTTTGTACCAACTACTGGACAGCTGACTCTAGCTTTGCTAGCATTCCTTTATGTCATACTCAGCAAAATGCTGCCCCAATGTCAAGGATCTCACCTCTGGAATTCAGCTCTTTTGACCATGTTTGGACCAAGGCTGTAATGAGGTCAGCAGCTGAGTGGCTCTGGCGGAACCCAAAGAGAGTGTCACGAGTTGGTTATTGCTAAGCAAGTACTACATGATAAGCGTTGTCAGAAATAAGATCCATTGTTGGCTAATCTGTTTCCTGTTAACTCACTAACTTCTAGCCCTGCCAACACTAGCCCTCTCCACAATGAGTTTATATATTCTGCAATAGCCTTTGATGTGGCAACTCATTACTGCCTTTTGGAAATCTATACATAGTATATCCAACGGTTCCCTTTTATCCACACAGATTGCTTTTACAAAGCACTTCAATAAATTAATCAGAGAACCAGGTTGATTCCCGATTTATTGGTAATGGTAGATTGGAGAATATGCTGGGCCATGAGGTTACAGATTGTAGTCGAATACAATTTTCCTATTGCTTCTTCAACTCCTCATGGATGACCAGTTTTGAGTTCAGATAGGACGGATTTCGATTCAATCTAGTTCACCATAGTACATACACATGATAGGGTGAATATCTTCAATGTGAAAACAGGATTTTGTCTCCACAAGGACTGTATGGTGGTCACACCTCCCAATCCTGTTGTGGAAAGATGCATCTGCAACTGATAGAAACTTTTTGTGCTTGCCAATCTTTCTCTTACTGATTCCCTCACTATCTGCCTCAGATCCAGTCGAGCATCTGTCTCTGGGAATTGGCCAAATCGGTCAGGAACAACATATCTAGTACACACAAGACAGACTGCATGAAAGACTACCAACTTTTTCTTTTACACAAATGAGAGTCCATGATTATACAAGGTCTACCCAGTTTTTGTGTTGCAGATGGGCAAGATTCCAACTGCTACATTAAAAAAAAACTTTACAATTAGACAAAGGCACTATTTAGTTTGTCCATGAGCAGTAGTACGAGAAATCAACTGATATGTTTCTAAAATCTTGTTAATGGCATCAACTAGTTGACTCAAATTATCAGAAGCATTCTGCTGTGCGGAAATGATAATGAGTGTAGATTTGCCATGAAACAACTGAGCATCATAACTGCCTTTGTAAATACATTTTCTAAAATCAAAACATTTTAATTAGAATTTTTTTGCCTGTTTTTTGCAGGTACCGAGCTGTAGCATCTTGGAGCCGAATTCAGGGAATTGGAATTCCCTTGAGGAAAGCAGTAGAAGTAATAGCTATTTGGGTCTTTTCGATTGTTTTAGCAATTCCAGAAGCTATAGGGTTTAACATGTTCTCCGTTGATTATCGGGGAGAGAAACTGAAAGTATGTCTACTCCACCTAACCAAGCCATCAGTATTCATGGAGGTAGGTGTCACCATAAAAGTTTAATATAAAGATTTGAAGTTTTAAGCAACATGGGACAAGAAATACAGACATTTAGAAATTTGGCCATAACAGTCCAATCTATATTGGATGTGAATATTTAGGCAAAATACTGTAGTTACTCTTATTGTACAGCCTGATGTATTATGAGATAGGGAAGGGAATGGAGATGTTCTGAATCCAGGACCAGAAAATAAATGATCTATGAAACAGATCTAACCCAGAGACAAATGTCCAAACGTGAACCAACAGTTTTGGAGGTGAAAAAGCCAGCAAGACCAGGGACATGGAAGTCCTGTATATCTTAACATCTTTGGCATATCATGAGACTGTCTCTCACCTGCCAAATGAACAAGGTTAGAAAGTTTGAGACCTTGCTTTTCTGCAAAATGGCTGCCACCTTTCCCACAACAACCATTTTCAAAAGGTACTTCACTGACATTGTCAAATAACTGTATATTTGCAAGCCTCTCTTTTAAACATAATTTTGGATGCAGTTATATTACAACTTAAAACAATCTAAACAATTCTAATTTCAATTTGAGTGGCATCAGTCCAAACATTGGGACAAACTGAATCTTCCTTGAAATGGGAACGGAGGAAGGAACACAAACTGGATTTAAAAAAAGTATAGGAGGGAGTGAAGATCCATTTCCAATTTAGAGAACTTCATGCTGTAATTGATTTCTTTCTTCCATGGTTAGGATCAAATACTGTTTTCTTTCACTCTATATGGTATTTTTTCTTTTATTCAGCCATTTAATCAATTATTATAAAATTTAAGTAAAATAATTTTTGAGTCAAAATTCCTAATGAAATCCTGACATTCTTCAATAAGAATGGAGCTAGAATTACTTACAGTCAGACATTCACTTGTCTATGTGAAAAGCAACTAGAAGTTTCCAACTTGTGTCCAGTTTAAAAAAACCTATCATATAGTGAATTGTATTAGGATTTATTTTCAAAATTAAATTTTTAATTTCTATTTCCTTCAACATAAAAGTAAATGGAGCTACCTCATGGATAGTGTTTTGTTAAAGTTTAGGTAGCTGTTGTTTATCAATTATGAATTCATACTATCAGGATTATTTACATACAGTTCTACAAGAATGTGAAAGATTGGTGGCTATTTGGCTTTTACTTCTGTCTGCCTCTGGCCTGCACTGGTATATTCTACACTCTTATGACTTGTGAGATGCTGAGCAGGAGGAATGGGATGCAAATCGCTCTCAATGATCATATCAAACAGGTAAGGAATCTGAAACATTCAAATACACCAAAATACATGAACAAACTACCCAGTTTACAGAAAAATAAGCTTTACGGTTTACAGTAAAAATAAAAAGTTTCAAAGCCTTCCAAAATTTAAAGAATGCAAACTTTCATTTAACTTTAACGTGATGCACTTTACACCACAATCAGTGGCTCTATACTTCAATTTCTTTTGGCTACGCTTCAATGTAATGAACCAGGTTTCAACAGGCACAGCATGGACAACATATAAAAGTGGTAAATGTAATGGAAGTGATGAGGCAATTATTTGTCCTATTCAGGAACCATCCACAACAGCTATTAAACGAAGACCATTGTACAAATGGGTCCACTGTACAATTAAGTAAAAGATTAAATCAATATAATAAAACTGCCCACCCAAATCTAACCACACACAACCCCCATAAACATCTCTTCAGTTCAAAGGCACACTTGGGTCTGGCCATAGTAGCTTGTAGACTATTTGTGGCTGTGCCGTAAACTGCATTTTTCCTTTCATATAAAGAAACATTTTATAACTTCTATTTATTTGGTGGCTCTTTGTTCAAATATCAGCACAGTTATACTAAGATGATCTTGGCAATTCTGTTAGGGCAAGAGACTCAATAATCAGAGAAATGTTCACATGGTTCCTTAACTTTCCCCAGCGACGTGAAGTGGCTAAAACAGTCTTCTGTCTGGTGGTTGTCTTTGCTATGTGTTGGCTCCCACTGCACTTAAGTAGAATTCTGAAGAAAACTATCTATGATCAGCAAGACCCCAACAGATGTGAACTCCTCAGGTAAGTCTGTGGTACATTTTGAAAGATGCTGTTGCTTCTATTTTGTGGCACCCTGCACTACAGATTTTGTTTTTTCACTTTGGTTCCTCAGTTCAGGTACACAGGATCGTTAAAGCATTGCTCATGCTTTGGGTAGGTTCCAAGTCTCCCTTAGCCAAGAATGGAATTGAACCAATGCAGCCTGCAATGAGTAACATTTGAAATTATTGTGACCACCCTGTTTAGTCTTACAGATAAATGGAAACATTTAATAATTCAAACTCCTAAATCAATAGTCTAAGAAACAGCAAAAGAAATTCATCTTTACTCCATGAAAGAGATTAAGGAGATAAGAAAATTGGGGGCTGATGTAGATGATGGGGCGGCACAGTAGTTAGCACTGCTGCCTCACAGCGCCAGGGACTCAGGTTCGATTCCAGCCTCGGGTGACTGTCTGTGTGGAGATTGCACATTCTCCCAGTGTCTGCGTGGGTTTCCTCCGGATGCTCCGGTTTCTTCCCACAGTCCAATGATGTGCAGGTTAGGTGGATTGGCCATGCTAAATTGCCTGTATTGTTCAGGGATGTGTAGATTAGGTGGGTTATAGGGGGATGGGTCTGGATGGGATGCTCTGAGGTTCAACGTGGACTTGTTGGGCTGAAGGGCCTGTTTCCACACTGTAGGGATTCTATGATCCGGGGACAGTGGGGATGAACAGGAAGAATGACAAATCTTATGTTGTCTACTCTAAGTTATTAGCATTTGAAAAAGCATTGTCCCATAATCATTTAATTTCAGACTTTCACCACTGTCAGAAATGAGGTTTCCGTTCATTCTATTTAGTGTTAATTGGAATCCAGCTTTTGAATTGAAAAGCAACAGGTCTGACTATAATTTCATTCATTAGGAAACAGGTAGAAAATAAATGGCTAACTTATTACACAATTAATTTTCACACCATTTCTATTCAGTTTCCTTCTAGTTCTGGATTACATCGGGATTAACATGGCTTCTCTCAACTCCTGCATAAATCCAGTGGCATTGTATTTTGTGAGTCAAAAATTCAAAAACTGCTTCAAGGTAATTTTGAACTTTGAAACAAAGTGTACAAATAGTGAAATCAAAGGGTTTATTTTCTACACAGATTTTTGAATTATATGCCATCCTTCAACAAGAATAGCAGACACTGATCAGCCTAAAAATCCTGTAACCAGATATAAGGATACATAATTTCTGAAGAAGGGTCTAGGCCAGAAACGTCAGCCTTCCTGTCCTCTGATGCTGCTTGGCCTGCTGTGTTCATCCAGCTCTGCACCTTGTTATCTCTCTATAAGGATACATGTGACAGGACCTCTCTTTACTGTGAATTTTTGGAACTACCTTCCTAACAGCACTGTGCGTGCTCCTACACCTCCAAGGAATGTAGCAGCTCAAAACCTAGCTCACCATCTACTCCTAGCAATTAGGTTTGGGCAATAACTGCTAGCCTAACCTTTTACACTCCCATCTGAGAAAATTTTTTTTAAAAAATGATTTCATCTTTCTACTTTAATTTCCATTGGAGATTATGTGGCACAGTGGCTGCAACCCTACCTCTGGTCCAGAAGTTCTGGATTAGAGTTTCACCGCCCACCCCCCACCCCAACCACAGGATGGTTACAGAAACGGTATTATAATGTGGCCAAACAGGTTCATTATAACCTTGTAAATGCTTCCATCTTCAACAGATGTTAAGAACAGGCGAGTTTCCTAGTCAGCCAAAACCCTATGGTAGCTGCAGTGTAACAGCCTGTCCATGTTAAAGACTCCACGTGGAGACTTTAGCCATAAGCAAGCATCACACTCATTCTAAGGGGCTGCCATACACATGCCTTCATGTTCCTTGTCTGCTATCCACCAATTTCTCTACCCTTTTAACCTTGATCATTCTTACTCTGCATATAAATTAATATAACAACAACCTCACCCAGATCTCACCATCATTTAAGGCCTCTCTGTTGCCTAGATCTCCATGCCATTTTCTGTCCACTTGTTAAACTCCATTTCCACCCACACCTTTCTCCCCACCACAACCCTAGAAAACAACTCTCTCACTTACTCCATCAATAATTCACTTTCAACTCCCTCATCTGATCCTCAACTCTCTGAAACTATGGGTCACTGTTTAAAAATAAAGGGTCACCCACTTAAGACAGTGATGAGAATTTTGCTCTCTGAGGGCAAAGGGTCTTTGGAACTCTCTTCCTCAAAAGAAAGTGGAAGCAGAATTTTTGGATATGTATAGGGCAGAGGAAAATAGATAATCAAAGATGAAAGACTACTGCGGCAGGTAGGAATGTGGAGTAGTCATGGCAGGGCAAGCTCAAGGGGCTGAGTAGCTTACTTATGTTCTTAGTCTGTATGTTCACGTTTTTATCCAATAACAGCTCTGCCGACATTCACTTGTTAAATAACCCTCAAGTCCCACTCTCCATGAGCTCCAACTTGTTCAAAATTAAACGACCTTCAGTTCCGCCCCATTTATCTCTGTGTCTTCAGGCAGTGATCTGCACTGGCTCCCTTTTACGCAAATAATATTTAAAATACTTCTTTTGTCAAATCGCTATCTTGACAGCATGTTGCAATCTTATCATTCCGTCCATACTCTGCAGTACTCTGTTGAACCTGCTCCCCAACTCCTTCATGTCCTCTAGCTGTGAAATCCTTCTCAGAATATAACTTTTCAGGCTAAGTTTTCATTCAGCTCTCCAAGTTGTTTCCTTTATGGTTGAGGTCATTTCATTACTCCCTCAAAATGCTAAAGTTTGATGGTGCATTTTTATAGCATCATTAATGTAAGAAAAAAAGGTTACTGGATGAAAACTGGCTGATTCTCATGTCAATAATTTTTAACATTGCTTTTTCATTATCATTGGGTCAAAACCCTGAAACTTCTTCACTTTGGCATTGTGGGTTTACCTACACCACATGGATTGCAGCAGTTCAAGAAAGGCATGCAAAGATAGGCAATAAATGCTTGCCCAGCCAGTGACACCCACATCCCACGAGTGACTTTAAAAAAAAATCATTCAATCTTTTAGCTGTGAGATGAAGAACAGCAGAAGACTAAGAATATGTGAGAACATTTAGGCAACAAGGGGATGGGGGAATAAAGAGAAAATTGATTCAAAAACACAGTATCAAATCTTTCTAAACTGGATTTGCCTAGGTTAGAATGTGAAGATTGCATCTGTTAATTTTCTACTAATTTATTTTCCTATTTACCATTCAGTCTTGCTTATGTTGCTGGTGTCAGCGGCCAGCTCTGAGCACACCAATGGATGAGAGAATGGCTGTTGTCAAATGGAAAGCCAACTGCCATGCAAATGGCCTGGATCGGAGTAGCTCACGCTTCAGTAACAAGTACAGTTCATCATGAACCTTTTATAAGGAAAAAAAAAGGAGAAAACACCTCTTGGCTCTCACTGCCACATTGGTCTGTTTCATATCTGAACTTGCATGCATTTGCTTTGGAAAATCCAAAGCAGATGTCTGTCTACATATTGAGAATCTGAATATTTGCAGGAATGAATAAAGCAAACACTTTCTCTGGGGTTGCTATATTCCAATATCAAGGTTGATCTTTTATTGATCACCCACATAAATGTTTAATTGCCATAGAGAACAAACTAAAATATGAATTGGTTATCCTACCGGCAAAACTTCTTTCCAATAAGAAACTGAAAATCAGCATTTTTTCATAAAGATTCCAAGAAATTGCAGTTGCAGGTCTCTATGTACCAATCCACTAGAAGATTCCTTACTCCTAGAAAGCATGCCCACCTTTTAAAAAGAAATTAGTTAGTGTTTCCTAATGGCCATCTGTAAGATTGTGTTGCCAAACACTTTCTACACTATATTCTAATTACTTTATTCATTGCAAACTTCAAATAAATACCCTCTGAATCTGTAAATTTAGAAATGAAGACTTCGGCCCCAGAACTAGCTGTGTCCCTTGCCACACTGTTCCATACAGTTATAATACTGGCATCAATGTGATATTGTGAAAAATTGCCGAGATATATCCTGGGAACAACAAAGCAGAACAAATCAAACTAACTAATTATCCATTAGGCTATTTTCCATCATCAGCAAGTTGACAATATCATCTTTCAAGTGAAACTTTTTCAGCTCACTGATGCTCAGTTTGGCTTCTGTCAGGGCCATTTGGCTCTTGACTGCATTACAACTTTAATCTAAAATGAACAAATGAACTGAACTGAAGACTAATGGGAATAGTAACTGCCCTTGACATCAAGGTGGCACTTGAATAAGCATGGTACCATGTAGCCCCAACAAAACTAAAGTCAACGGAAATCAGGAGAAATCTTTTCCACTGGTTAGTCATGCCCAGCTCAAAGAAATATGTTGTGGTTGATGTAATCTAATCATCTCAGTCCCTTGACACCATCGCAATGAATTCTTAGGTTGTACCTGAGGCCCAACCGTCTTTAGCTACTTCATTAATTACCTTCCCTCTGTTATAAGGTCAGAATAGAATTGATTATTGCTGAATATTCAGTAACATTTACAACTACTTGGATACTGAAGCAGTCTGTGTTGATAGGCAGCATGATCTATACAACATCCATGCTTGGGCTAATAATTGGCAAACGAATAACATTCACATTACACAACTTACAGGCAATGATCATCTCCAACATGACAGATTCTAGCCAACTTCCCTTGACATTGAATAACATTATGATTACAGAACCCTCCATTCCACATCTTGGGTTATCATTGACCAGAAACAAAATAGGACCAGCTATATAAATACTATAGTTACAACAGCAGATCAGAGACTGGTAATTCTGAGACAAGTAATTCACCTAAATTGTCAAAGTCTGTAATGCCAAATCAGGAGTGTGATAAATACTTTCCACTTGTCTGGATGAATGAGGTCAAATGATCAGCAACTCATTCACCAATTTTAAACAGTCCCTCTCTCCATAGCCCACCCACCACTGCAACAGTGCATGCACAGATGCACCACAGCAATTCCATAAGCCTCTCTTATTAGTACTTTCCAAAACTTCTAAAATCTGGAATGACTTGGGCAGCAAACACATGGGAACACCATCTGTTAGTTCACCTCCAAGCCACATAAAAATCATGATTTTGAACTAAATCGTTATTCCCTCATCGTTATTCAATCAAAACCTTGGAATTCCCTTCCAAACAGCAGTGTAGATGTGTCTGTACCAGATGTGTTGCAGTAGTTCAAGCAGGCGAAACTCAGCAGGTCTGGCAGCATCTGTAGAAAGAGAAAACATTAATGTTTGGGTTCAGTGGACTGAGTTAGATAGATGTAGGCCAACAATCCTATTACAAACTAATGTTAAAAAACAGGTACCTATCATTGACAAATTCCTTGGTTGAAATGAAACACCTTTATAAGTTTCAAACACGACATTTTTAAAGGCTAAAGCTAATTTTTTAGTTAGCAGAAACAAACCAGGAAAACCATACTCACACTGTGCCTCTCAAGAGAGGGGAATATCCCAACCACAAGCATTGTCTTTCCTGGAACAACCTCAAGACAAAGGCCATTGCTCAAAAATAAATTCAATCTTACCCATATTAAACTGATTCAATTCCAACCGGAGAAAACATCCAAACATTTTTTAAATTCAGGAAGATAACTAATTTTCAGTCAGCATCTTTCTATTTTAAGGTATTTACAGTCTACTCTTTATTGCCAGTGCTACATGACATTAACTAGCTGATAGTATTTACCTTGCCTAAGGTTCACATATGCAAAAGTCCCTTTAGACCTGCCAAGTTGCACTGTATGCCTGTTGTATTTTTATAAGCAGCTGGACGTAACAGGAAATGTATTGCAGAGAAAAAGATCTAACACAAGCAAATCTAGTCTTGAGTTGGACTTACCATGTATCTGGAATTTCAAACTCAACAATCTGATCTAAAACAAGAGAAGATCAACCTAGGAAATTAAATATGTACTTACCTGCTTCCAGAAAATCAGCTGCCTCCAACTGGTGTGGTAGGGTTTCTGTGAAGACTATTTTAAGCCATCAAACAAACTAATTTTAATGTTTTTAATGTTTATTTTTCAAAATATAAAAATATACAGCATCATAAAACTATGTGGCTTATCACAATTGATCCATTGCTTCTTCTTGTTTATGTTGCTCTTTATATTCCTTAATACTGACCTAAAAGAAGAAATTAATCAGAATCAGGAATGTGACAGTCGAGCAGAATGCATTGCAACAAGCTGACAGTTCTGTGAAAGTATATCTCAGTACTGATAGATTCAAATTGGGAAGAATAAGCACTTCCTGAATGATGCAATTAAAATATATTCTCTCATATTGTGTAGTTATTGCAAATGCACTTATAATTTGACTGGTTACCCTATGTGTATACAATCTTTCTTTATATTGTATTGTCAATACAAATGTAATAAAACAAACTTTAGCTTCAGGTTGAAAGACTTATTATAGTAATTTCTGGAGATATATCCTACAAAAGCAGACAGCAATAATTAGAATAATTTGCACTGTTTCCTGGGTACCACAAGTGTCCTTGTTGCTCCAGGAATGGTGAGAAATGTGTAGAAATGAGGTACGAGGATACCAACAACAATAGTTTCAGTCCCACTTGCAGCAATAGCCATCTCAATAATGGCCAAGAGATAGCAGGAACTGCAGATGCTGGAGAATCTGAGATAACAAGGTGTAGAGCTGGATGAACACAGCAGGCCAAGCAGCA